TCTTAATCACCAACTTAATTTTGAAATATGCACTTTTAGACTTACTACCGACACTACCATTAAGGATATACCCTATGACTGATCTTGGAGGCTTTTAAAAAGGCCAGCGCATATTTTTACTGAGGCATTTGCCTCAAATTTTTTCCATATTCTCACTATCCGAACGTGGAAACTCGCTTCTTTTATATTAAAATTCACCAACTGTTCGAGGAAATAACCTTTAACTTACATAATATTGTGTTATAAGTTATATGGTATGTTGGTTTGCTTGCGCCCTCCAATTTTGCTCACCTCAAGTCGAATCGTTTACTTTCAGCCTCTTAGGAAAACTGTCAACTCTTGCGACAGAAGTGATGTTTGTAGGCTTAAACTTCAACGAAGAGTGAACAAATTAAAAATGCACCACAGGCTGGATAGTGAGGCCGAATGCCTGTATATGTGTCTGTACATGTGCGTATTCATGGGGCCTCGCATTACTGCCTTTTGCCTAGTACAAGTTATTTCGTCTAAATCCACTCATTCGTACATAAATGTAGGCTAAGTTGTCCTTGAATAGCAATGCTTTAAGAAAGTATAGTTTGCCAATGGGCGGTCTTCGTCAATATGGTATTTTGCGTGAATGTGTCGAGAAACCTGGTTTTGAATAGTTAACCAAGCCTCGATAATCCTAGTTATGATAACAGCACTACTGGATTTATGAGTGTTACTTTTCCAATATCGAACAACTTGTTGGTTCAGTCTGTTGTGAGTAATCACAGTCTGAATAGTATACATAAAAATTTTATAGTTCAGGCGAAGCAAAGGATGTACTATGAGCTACAGGGGTTTGATGGCGATATTTTTAAGCCAAACGCGCAAAATGTTCTGGTATTTGCTTTTCCTAAAACTGCATCAAGACATTGTTCAGGTTCCGGTGAAAATGGACTGAGCCTTCGTTCGCCATGCTACAGTACAGTCAACCAGGCTGACAACAAGTTTTTGGCCTTCGTTTTCTCGCGAGCTCGACGCAGAAATCGCCCCACACTTGCTTCCCCATGAGTCAAAATCCAGTTCTTCATAAAAAGTCCATCTTGTGGATGGACTTCATCGAGTTTTGACAAAACTTTTTGGAGTGAAATAATACTGGCCGTTATTTCTTTGTAAGAGCTCTGGCATCTCCCTCCTATTCCTCTGTACGATGGGCCCATTCTGATTTACGGCCTGTCCAGAACTGCCAAACACAGCCGATCTGATAAGGAGCACTGACGAGGCCCCATTTCAAAAGTACAGCATAAACGAGTCTTTGGACGAGAGGGATTTGACGTGGGACATGCTGCATAGCTCCTCATTGCAGCCACACTCTACAGCACTCCCTTAGCGTTCCCGAAAACGGATCATGTTGATCCACT